ACAAGTTAAGATATTTTGCCTTCAAAACTCCCTTTGGAAGGCTGTTCCAGAATCTTCATCTAATTTCAAGCCTAAGCTTGCTGATGGCCAATTTATATCCATTTGTTCTGGTGCCAAGGAGACTCTGGAGAAATTGGCCCACACTCAGTCTATACTCTCCCCCCAGAGTCTGGGTTTCTGCCTTAGCCCACAAGCAGCCCAGTCTGTTAATTTTTGTACAAATGCAGAGGGCTATAATCCCGCAGTCCATCTTCCTGCTCTGAATTTCTGGTGGTATTTTTCTATGTACAGGCCCAACCCATCCAAAATGGCTGCCTTAATCACATCATAGTCTCTTGCTGGTACATTACTGAGAGCCATATATGCTCCCTATGCTTCCCCAGTTAAGCAGCGTGCCAGCCCAAGGGCCCACATTGTTCTGTCCTAACCAGCTCCTGCTGTCACCCTTTTGAAAGTACTAAAAACGTATCAGTCTCTTCCACAGGTTCCATTCTGCAGAGACCTGTCCCTTGTGCCCAGTTTCTGTTTCCAGTTGCAGGACTCTCAAAGCTTTGCTGGAGTTGTTGCTGAACCTGGGCTTGCTCCTTTATAAATTCCTGCAGGCTCTTTTGCTGCTTTGCCTGCCAGGCAAGCAAAGACTTTCTCTACGTGGTGGGATTGTTGGAAGGCTACAGGATCTTCTACAGATCTTTGCTGCTCCACCAGCCATTGCAGCGTTCCCTCCAGCATCCAGACTGCCAAACCTCTCTGACAGGTTCTCCATTCGCAAGGATACAGGCAACTTCCAGACAAGCCCCTAAGTTGTGACAGAGTAGCATGCCACATGCATGGCTCTTCCACAAACACCGACCGTGCTGAGACCTTGCTTGTCAAATACCCCTCTGTAATTTATGTACAGTGTTTTAATCCTCCACCAATACATAGCAATGTCTCTGTATCTTTACACTGTGTCTCAGGTTTCCAACCCATTCCCCAAAAGGGGTGTGGGGGGGAACAAGTGGCTCTCCTCAAAGGACTCTTCTAGCCACCTTTTCCCCAAACACTCCTTCCTGTGCCCTTTTATACAGGTTCACTGTTAATGGGCTTAATTGATGCACCAGCCCCAATCTGGCTTGTAATCAGGTACACATCTGTCCAGTTAGACCTTCTCTAGGGAGAACCTAATTAGTACTAAAAGTGACTAGAATGCTGGCCCTTTAGTCACAAATGGTAATAAACCTCTCTACTGGAAATATCTTGCCTAATACATCCTAGGATTGCATTAGCCTTTTTCCTGGTCACATCACATTAGTCACTCATAGTCATCCTGTGTTTGACCAGTACACCCAGGTTTTTCTCCTACTCTGTTGCTTCCAATTGGTAAGCTCCCAATTTATAGCAAAAATTCTTGTTCTTAGTCCCTAAGTGCATGAACTTGCATTTTGCACTATTAAATTTCATCCTATTTCTATTACCCCAGTTTTCAAGGTTGGCCAAATGTATGATATTCCAGTCCTCCTGTGATTGGCAATACCTCCCAACTTTGTGTCATCACAAATTTTATTAGCACACTCCCATTTTTTGTGCCAAGGTCAGTAATTAAAATGTTGAGTAAGACTGATCCCAAGACCAATCCCTGAGGAACTCTACTTGTAACTTCCCACAAGCCTGACAGTTTGCTTTTCAGTATGACTCCGTTAATGAGTACGTTAACAACCTTTTGATTCTCATCTACTTTAATTTCCCATGTGGAACTGTATCAAAAGCTTTACTGAAATCCAGACAGATTGGGTCTATGCATTTCCTTTGTCTAGAAATCAGTTATCTCAAAGAAAGAGGTCAAGTTGGGCTGGCACAATCTACCTTTTGTAAAAGCATTTTGTATTTTATCACAGTTACTGTTTACCTCTGTCTTTATTTACTCTTTCTTTCAAAATTTGTTCTAAGACCTGGCATACAGCTGAGGTTAAATTAACGGGTCTGTAGTTTCCCAGATCCCTTTTTTTTTCTTTAACTTTCTGAAATTTGCAATTCTGCAGTCATAAGGCATGATCTCCACGTTTATGGATTCATTAAAAATCCTGCCTATTGGGCTAGCAATTTAATGTGCCAGTTCCTTTAATATGCTTGGCTGGTGATTATCTGAGCTCCTTCCTCCCCCTGCATTTGGTCCCATTAAGCTGCTTGAGTTTGCCACATCTGAGGTGTAAGCCAATTTCTGTTGCTATAGCTTTGTTCCCATTAGCCATGCTGCCACTGCCCCTCAGCTCCTCATTAAAAATGGAGGCAAAGTGTTGGGCCATATCTAGATTATCTTTAATCTCCACCATGTCCTCATCAATGTTCCTGCTAATTTTTTCCATCCATGTGCAAAATACATTTTATGTGCACCGAGGTATGTGTGGATGTGCACTACCAGTAGAAACAAAAAAACTAGATATAATATATATCTTTAAAAAGTTACCATAGGGATAATTACTCCAGCTGGGACAGGTTAGTCATTTTAGAACTCACTACTCAAATTATATTTGTGTAAGAGAAATAAAAATTATGAAATGATGGACTAGTCAAAACACTAAAATAACACACTTTGAAAGAATAAAATGACAGAGAATATATGTGCATTGCAGTAACTATCAAGTAGTAACAACACCACCACAAATATGTGTTGGGAGGTGAGTGTGACACAGACTGTGTGTGTGTGTGTGTGTGAGTGAGAGAGACTGGGTGTGTGTGCTGGCTGCTGGGAAAGTTTCTTTAAGGCATGCACTAAAAGCTCTCCTATGTCCTGAGCCCTGTCTCCCCATACCTGCTCTGTGTAGATGGGGTACATGGGCGGGAGGGGGGAGAGAGAGATTGTGTGAGCAAGGCACTCAGTCACTGCCCGGAGGCTCCTTCAGACTGCAGCAGCTCTCTCCTTCTTGAGTCCTGAGCCAGTCTGTCCCCTCTCCCCTGCTCTGCAGAGATGGGGGAGACCCTGACATCAGCACACACAAACACCTGCTCTGCACAGCCAGCAGGAGGGTCCTGGGAGCAGCTGTAGGAGCAGTGTGGCTGCAAAGCAGTGGGAGGGGCAGCTGAACATATGCTGCCAGATGGGTGTGGCTCTGCTAATCAAGTGGGCGGCACTTGAATCTATCCTGGGCAACCATCCAACCGTGCAGCTTACAGGAAACTTAGGTCCTCTGTGGGCTCACTTCTTGTTTCCTTGTTTTCTTTTTATTTATATGGCTAAAGAACCTTATACTATTGGTTTTACTTTCCTTTGCAATGTCCACCTCTGCCTGGCTTTTGGAAGTTCTCACTTTATCCCTGTACTTTCTGACCTGCAAGAGGTAGGTAGCTTTCCTTGCAGAGCTATTCCTTCCATTCCTTGTGTGCTGTCTTTTTCTTTACAACGTGTTTGAGATGCTTGTTCAGCTGGTTTGGGCTGCAACACTTCTGAGTCTCTCTCCCCCCCCCCCGCCCCCAGTATGGAGCTTTGACTTAAAGTAATTCCAAGCCTCTTCCACATTCAGATCCTTGAGTTCCTCAGACCTATCAACTTCCCTAACTAATGCCTGTAATTTTTTTAAGTTTGCCCTTTTGAAATCAAGGATCCTAGTTGCAGACCTATTTTTGTTTAGCCTTCCATTTAGTTTAAACTGAATTAGCTCCATTTAGGTGAACCTGAATTAATTTATCATCATGTGAACCAAGGTTGTTCTTTACAACAAGGTAATCTATTAGGTTCTCACTACTTAGTAATACCAAATCTAAAATGGCATCAGTACTTGTTGGTTCATTGACTATTTGGTGAGAAAATCTGTCAGCTATCACATCCAGGATGTTGGCCTACCATTATTATTAGCAATTGTGCTCCATTCTATACCTGGAAAATTAGTCTCCCATAATCACACAATTTCCAGTAGCATTAATTTTATTATAAATATTAATGAGGTTTCGTGCCATATCCAAATTGGATCCAGGGGATCTATTGTAAACCCCATGCACTGTTCCAGGGGAGCCTCTGGGTTAAAATCACTTTGGGGAAGAAAGCTAACAAACAGATTAAATGTAATCCTTTCCATCACTTCTAATTTCTTTACAGGCTTAACTCATCATTTATATGCAATGCTTACTCCTGGGAGAATTCTGTGCCACTGTGCATGTGCAGAATTCATGCCGCCCACAGATTTCTTTGCTTCCCTGCAAAAAAATGACTTCCTGATAGGGAAGCAAAAGGAAGCCTCAAGAGCAGTCACATGCCCCACCCCAGTAGTATGGGCATGGCATTTCAGGTGCCCAGAGCAGCTGGCGGAGAAGTAAATCGGTGGGGGGGCTGGGGATGTGTCTATCCTGTGCCGGAATCAGCTGCTAGTCCCTGGGCTGGGAGCGAGGGAGGATGGGACTTTCTTTTCCCCTGCATGGAGCATCTGGGGTCAGGTTAAATTAACATAGTTCTTTTGTTACACTATAAAGAACATTTATTTTTCCCAGAATAAAAACTAACATCTTTTCATGCTTTGAAATGTTCATGATGTACAGGCATATTGCGTTATTTTTAAAAAACACACATCCTAAAAAATATATTACTGTAGATAGCATATTACACTTTCTTATATTTTAATATACAGTGAACCTCAGAGTTATGCACACCTCATTTGGAACAGGAAATACGTAATCAGGCAGCAGCAGAGACCAACCCCTCCCCCCAAACAAACAAATACAGTACTGTGTCAAATGTAAACTATTAAAAAAATAAAGGGACAGTTTAAAAAAAGATTTGACAAGGTAAGGAAATGCTTTTAGTGCTTGGTTAATTTAAATTAAGATGGTTAAAAGCAGCATTTTTCTTCTGCATAGTAAAGTTTCAACGCTGTATTAAGTCAATGTTCAGCTGTAAACTTTTGAAAGAACCACCATAACATTTTATTGAGAGTTGCAAACATTTCAGTTACGACCAACCTCCATTCCCAAGATGTTTGTAACTCTGAGGTTCTACCGTGTTTTTAAATAATACAGTCTCTATTTTTCCTCAAAGTTGGAACATGTACTTAAAACCATTTAATTAACAAATTAAACTAGTTTTTCAAGCAAGAGGCACCTGTACTTTTGCCCCCTAGAATATGAGACCCTTTGATTATAATAAATGAGCTACAGCATAATGTAAACTTACACATATCTTTACAAACACAGTACGTCACACTTAGAGCCCTAAAGAGCTGCTGATCCCTTTGAAGGAGTTATTAGGGAAAGAGGACAAAAAGGCACTGTGGGGGAAATTCCAAACAAATTCTGACACTGCAATTAGTTCTTATATGGCTAAGCAGCTAGCAATGTCACACTTGGAAGGTTGCCGTAAGGAGGAATGCCTATCAGATGCTAAGGTGCCAGCATTGCGGTAGGAGCTCCTATTATGCTGCATCATGTGGAAATCTGTCACAGAAAATGTGTCCGATATCATTTTACTACTGAATCCATACATCAGAGGACATTCCCATCATGTGCCATACCCATTCATAACTTGTATGTTGGATCAAACACCCTCCACGTCACTAGATGCCTGCATTTTGGGGGACAATGACTGAAAGTACTGGCATAATCCTGAGAACCATATCACAGGCAGCTAATGCGATATAAATGGTCTCACAGTTATAAATGAGAGGCGAGGTTAAGAGGGACACTGTCCATTTCACTTCAATCTGACATCATCTTACCTACTGTTGTTACAAGCAATAACCCTAGAATCACTAAAAGACATTAGAGAAAATAAGCAACGTCCTTTCATTAGTGTGTTTACAGTGTGTAGTCATGTTCATTGTTATCCTGGACAGTCAGTCAGTTTTGCCTGTTGCTTGTCTGGGTCTCTTGTACAGCAAAAGGGGATAACATTAAAAAAACAAAACAGTGAAGCATGATTTCAAAATGTTAAAATTGGTAAGTATGCTTAGGAACAGGTGTCACACTACAAACAATTTAAACACGGTTGTGGAAACTGACTAGAGCTAATATTGATAGTGTCAGTTTCTTTAAGAAAAGAAGGTTTCTATAAATTAGAAGAGACTAAAAAGGAATGCAATTTTCACCCTCCACAGGCAAGTGAAAATCAGTAAGCTGGCACTCTTACTGTGTTTCAGTTCAGAGGTAGTAGCTGCTTCCTTCATGAACCAGCCAGTCTATGGTCTTGTAAGCTTGGATGGGCAGAGAAATAGCACTTTACAGCTACCTTGCTAACTGCTCAAGAGTATTTGCTAGGACAAGAAAACGGAGCTTCTGCATGACCTACTTACACTGTAACATCTGGGTCACTAGCTTTACTTTCTACTGCCAGTCTCTGACTTCCTACTGCTTTATTCTCCAGTATTGTTCTATACTAAAATGTGATAATTTGTTTCCTATCTTGGCTGGGATTAGGGATGAGGAGAAACTCCATTGTTTTGCTATGAATCTCTTCAAGAGGAACCTCTCTACTCAAGGCACAAGCACTGACTATTCAAATTATTTTATTTGGAAAACAGATGCTTGCTTTTATCCAAGCTGTTGATGTTTAAGAGTTAACAGGTGCAATTAACCAACCTTCTCCCTCTCGTTAATTTTTCAGGTACTTAAACTGCCTTTTCCAGAGACCTTCTAGCTGGCTCACTCAAGAAGGTACCAGCTGGGCTCATTGCATTTCCCTTTTACTAGAAACAATCTGGTAATTACTGTCTTAGGAAAGTCTTTTGGCACAGTATATTTATTATAGAATTATTATGACACCTCTGAGAGCCATCTATGGCAAATAAACATCGCTCTTATGGCATCATCTGCAGGTTATATCTTTTGTCCACCCTGCAGAACAGTGAAATGTAAATCTCCCTCAGATTCGGGAACAGATTGCGACTAGGACTGAGTAAAGAGGAATTTCCTCTCCACTGTCAACTGAGTAATGGAGACTTTGTATTGCACTATCTCTCTTGTTTTCTAGCTCCTGCTATGCTCTGAAAAGCAACTATTCTAGTTGATTTTTCCATCTTAAATTCTTTATTTACCAAGATACAAAGTGACTGTGCATGCCCAACAGCTTCAGATCAGAGACAGAAACCATTTTAGCTTTGCCAGTTGGGTGAAGTAGATGAAATTGGCAAAACCACATTTCTGAAATCTCCTTAGCTTCCAGTTTGTTTTCCTTTTTGGCTGATGTTACAGGGCTCTCCAGCATATTGTCTCCATTCCTCAGATGATTACATCAAGGACATAAAGTATACCAAGATAGCAGTCCCCATAAGGAGTGACCTAAACTAACAGCCAGTATAGAAGAGCTAGGGCTGGGACTTCAGGTTTAAGTGTACCCCATTTTTCTGGCTTTCTGAAGTTCTATAGCCCTATTCTCTTACACTCCTAGTCCCTGGAGATCTGAACAAATGCTGCTCCTCAGTAGCTTCATTAATTAAAAAAAAGAAAAATCCAAACATTCACTAGGAAGCCCTGAGTAGCATAATTGATCCTTTTCTTTCCCCCATCCCTCAAATACAAGCCTGAGCGCATCAGCCTGTCTGGGACTTCAGCTTTTTTTCTATTTAAGGTACCTTCTGGTTTGATTAGGTGATCTCTTGCCATCCCCATTCACCATATCTCTCTGCAGACTGCCTCTTCCCCTCCTTTTTGCAGCAGTTGGTTGATGCAGATAGAAATTCTTTTTAAGGGACCATCTGTGAACATGTCAATTTTTATGATATTTTCTTTTTGTGAAGCCTGGAGCAATTATTCTTTTCTTCTAACTGGAGATTAATTTAGAAGGGACTCACTGAATTCTGTTTCGGTTTGAGCTGCTGTTTGTTCAATAGACTTCACTGTTGTGAGTCGTAGTTTCTTTTGGGGGTATTTTGAGTTGTTTTTTTCCCTCCTTGTAAGTGGATTGGTACCTGAATTTAGTAGGAGACGTGTCATATTATTTGGCTTGCAGTGTGAAAATATTTTGGGGAATGCACAGGAAAGGCCTGTTTCCACCATATACTAGAGTCCTTAGGTCCACTTTGCTCTGTTTGGAAGCAAAAGATCAAAATTAATTACCCAAGGCAAGGCTGGTCAACACAGTCCACACTACCTGCCTGATTCGGCAGGTAGAGATCGATCTTTTGGGATCGATTTATTGCGTCTCATCTGGATGCGATAAATCGATCCCAGAAGCGCTCCCCTGTCGACTGCTGAACTCCTACTCACCGAGAGGAGGAAGTGCTGTCGACGGGGGAGCTTGCCTGCGCCGCATGGACCCGCAGTAAGTAAACTTAGTTTGATCTAGGAAACGTCGACTTCAGCTATGCTATTCTCGTAGCTGAAGTTGCGTTTCCTAGCTCGATCCCCCGCCCCAGTGTGGACCAAGCCTTAGTGAAATGAGCCCTCTCTCTCAGCTACTGTAAATTGTCATAGAACCAGTAAAGTCAATGAAGCTATGGTAACACACTTATTGAGGCTCTGCCCCGCCATGTTCAGACTTTTCATGGTGTAGGAAATCATGTAACAAATGATTCCACAAAAAAGCCTCATCATCAAGAGGACACAGGCTGGTCTTTTTGTGGCTGGTGTTAAAACCTTGTTTGTATGAAAGCATCATTCTGGCTGTTCTAGTGAGAAACCCAGTGTCCCTTTTGTAACTCTCCTGAAGACTATTCTTGGCCATGTCTTTGTCATTCACCTGGCTCTGAGGTTAGAGCATGGATTCTATGGCAGCGTCGAACCGCCCGTGGTGGAGGATGAGCATATGTTGATACAAGTCCAAAGGCTTCTGGAACAAGATACTTTCTCCAATACTGCAGGGTATGAAGACAGCTGAACTGGTGTAATCCCCTCTCCTGGATCAAAAAAATTGGAGTGAGAACACTCTTGGCTTTGATATTGTTGGCAAGAACATTCAAAACCACCTTTAACCGAAAGCAGCAGCTGTCACTTGTCTTGGCCTCGGTTTTGCTTTTGTTTGGGTAGATTTCCTGAGGGGTTGGTGTTTGTCTCCAGTGTTTCTCCTCCTCATTCTGTTGTCTAACTGGAGCTTTTCTTTGCTTTGATTACTCACATTTATACACTGTCACCTCTTAATGGAGACAAAATCCAGCTGTCCCATCACTTCCTTGTGTAGTTCTGCAGTCTGGAATGCACAGCAAGGCAGCTTGATTTAGCGTTGGGGTAAGGATTGGCTGCCACTATCCTAATCCTGGCCTCATGATTGCTGGGAACTATGTGGTGCACTTGAAATATGATGTTGACAAGGTCACAATAGAAACAGGTGCAAAGGCTGGAAGCATCAAGGAGTCCCCTGTACAGGGAAGTGGAGCCTGCTGTCCAGATACTAGCACAGGAATGTGTGGGAGTCTCAAGCCCTGAGCTATGGAAACTATTGCTGCTTTTTTCAGCTGCTCTCATTGCAGCAACTACATTTTTAAATGGCAGATGAGTTGCTGAAGCATTTATAATGCTTAAGCCCACAAACCTCAAACACTCCAGGTTAAACACACCCTCCCAACCCTCAGGTTGCAGTACAAGTGTCCCAGAGGTTACAGCTGCACATATATATTCAGGCATCTTGAGGACAGCAGGTTTGTCTCTCTGTCAGATACGTTTCTATTTGGTCACCTCTCTCTCACTCACACATACACATGCCCCTTACTGTTCCTTCCAACCTTCTAGTCAATTGATACTGATAATGCCATGCAGTCATTTACCAACTATTACAGATCCATTGTTTCATCCCCACCTTTTGCTGCTGTCAGGGATATCTTTAACTTTTGTTGTAGGCAATCTTGATTGTCAGCCTTACCATCTGAAGCTCACTGACTTAACAGTTTGACTGAAAGGTCATAGCTTTGTTAGGCAGCCCGATGTTCACATCCAGACTCGATGCAGGGCATAAGAATGGTATAGGTTTGTCATGACATGTCTCTTGCTACTATAAGTGACCTCTTAGAAAACAATTAGTAGGCATGGTGGCTCGGACACACAAACTTTAAACTCTAAACATCCCATGTCGACTCTGAACCAATGAGCACCACCTATTTAATTTGTTTGTAGCGCAGGCTTTGTTGAGCATTTTTCTCCTAATTTTACCTTTGAGACCTGATTGGTTCTCCATATTTGTACTTCTGAAAAGAGGCCATCCAAAAATAACAGAACACTAGCTATTAGGCAGATACCTCTTCAAAGTCTGTGACTCCCTCACCTTTGTACATTGCCAGCTAGAAACATCTACAGCAGAGGCAACTCAGCACCTGCTGCTGCAGCAGCTGAAAAGATGGTGTCATTTATATTTGTGCTTAACTTTGAGCTTAAAATGCCCTAAACTATTACAGCAGTCAAAGCAGACCCAAAGCCCTGATCTCCACAAGGTTCCTAATTCATCTCGTTTTGTGGTGTGCGGGACACCTACTGTTTTAGAGATTCTGTTTCTATTTTAAGCGAAGTGGTTTAAGACCATATTTAGAAGGATATGAGAGCTGACAAGCTCCAGATACTTCAAAATGGTTATAGCAGCTGGTTTTCCCATGTCTGGTGTGCACCATGGAACTCCAGAAAAGGTCTGTCCAGATCCTTTGGAAAACAAGGAGAAGATAGAGGAAAAGGATTATCCCCAATACACTTTGAATTGCAGGAGAATATTGTGTCTCATGGCGTAACTGGCACTTTAGTTTCCCACAAGGAGGTTGCAATCATCATGTTGGCTCTTAAATTTTTTCTTGAAGATGGAGATGGAGGTGGATGGCTTGTAAAAAATACTCCAGATCTCTCCTGCAGTAGTTGCTTGGTGAGAATCCCCTATCTCAACTGAAGGAGGTGCCTGATGAGATCTAAGAAACAGTTATTTTACAATTATAGTCTTAATAACATGCTAAATTGTTTGGCGAGCTGCTATTTATTATCACTATTATCTTATGTGTATTACAGTATGTCTGCAGGCCCCAAAGGGACCTCAAGAGGTCATCAAGTCCAGTCCCCTGCCCTCATGGCAGGACCAAATACTGTCTAGACCATCCCTGATAGACATTTATCTAACCTACTCTTAAATATCTCCAGAGATGGAGATTCCACAACCTCCCTAGGCAATTTATTCCAGTGTTTAACCACCCTGACAGTTAAGAACTTTTTCCTAATGTCCAACCTAAACCTCCCTTGCTGCAGTTTAAGCCCATTGCTTCTTGTTCTATCCTTAGAGGCTAAGGTGAGCAAGTTTTCTCCCTCCTCCTTATGACACCCTTTTAGATACCTGAAAACTGCTATCCTGTCCCCTCCGAGTCTTCTCTTTTCCAAACTAAACAAACCCAATTCTTTCAGCCTTCCTTCATAGGTCATGTTCTCAAGACCTTTAATCATTCTTGTTGCTCTTCTCTGGACCCTCTCCAATTTCTCCACATCTTTCTTGAAATGCGGTGCCCAGAACTGGACACAATACTCCAGTTGAGGCCTAACCAGCGCAGAGTAGAACGGAAGAATGACTTCTCATGTCTTGCTCACAACACACCTGTTAATACATCCCAGAATCATGTTTGCTTTTTTTGCAACAGCATCACACTGTTGACTCATATTTAGCTTGTGGTCCACTATAACCCCTAGATCCCTTTCTGCCGTACTCCTTCCTAGACAGTCTCTTCCCATTCTGTATGTGTGAAGCTGATTTTTCCTTCCTAAGTGGAGCACTTTGCATTTGTCTTTGTTAAACTTCATCCTGTTTACCTCAGACCATTTCTCCAATTTGTCCAGATCATTTTGAATTATGACTCTGTCCTCCAATCCCTCCCAGTTTGGTATCATCTGCAAACTTAATAAGCATACTTTCTATGCCAATATCTAAGTCGTTAATGAAGATATTGAACAGAGTCGGTCCCAAAACAGACCCCTGCGGAACCCCACTTGTTATGCCTTTCCAGCAGGATTGGGAACCATTAATAACAACTCTCTGAGTATGGTTATCCAGCCAGTTATGCACCCACCTTATAGTAGCCCCATCTAAATTGTATTTGCCTAGTTTATCGATAAGAATATCATGCGAGACTGTATCAAATGCCTTACTAAAGTCTAGGTATACCACATCCACAGCTTCTCCCTTATCCACAAGACTCATTATCCTATCGAAGAAAGCTATCAGATTGGTTTGACACAATTTGTTCTTTACAAATCCATGCTGGCTATTCCCTATCACCCTACCACCTTCCAAGTGTTTGCAGATGATTTCCTTAATTACTTGCTCCATTATCTTCCCTGGCACAGAAGTTAAAATAACTGGTCTGTAGTTTCCTGGATTGTTTTTCCCTTTTTATAGATGGGCACTATATTTGCCCTTTTCCAGTCTTCTGGAATCTCTCCCGTCTCCCATGATTTTCCAAAGATAATAGCTAGAGGCTCAGATACCTCCTCTATTAGCTCCTTGAGTATTCTACGATGCATTTCATCAGGCCCTGGTGACTTGCAGGCATCTAACTTTTCTAAGTGATTTTTAACTTGTTCTTTTTTTATTTTATCTGCTAAACCTACCCCCTTCCCATTAGCATTCACTATGTTAGGCATTCCTTCAGACTTCTCGGTGAAGGCCGAAACAAAGAAGTCATTAAGCATCTCTGCCATTTCCAAGTTCCCTATTACTGTTTCTCCCTCTTCACCGAGCAGTGGGCCTACCCTGTCTTTGGTCTTCCTCTTGCTTCTAATGTATTGATAAAAAGTTGTCTTGTTTCCCTTTATTCCTGTAGCTAGTTTGAGCTCATTTTGTGCCTTTGCCTTTCTAATCTTGCCCCGGCATTCCTGTGTTGTTTGCCTATATTCATCCTTTGGAATCTGTCCTAGTTTCCATTTTTTATATGACTCCTTTTTATTTTTTAGATCATGCAAGATCTCGTGGTTAAGCCAAGGTGGTCTTTTGCCACATTTTCTATCTTTCCTAACCAGCGGAATAGCTTGCTGTTGGGCACTTAATAGTGTCCCTTTGAAAAACTGCCACCTCTCCTCA